GAATCATTGAAACTCAATAAAACAAAATCTAAAATAGTCAAATCTGAGCCCTTGACCAAAACATTAATCCACGAAATCGTAAAACGAGAGGCAGTGTTTTATCATCGTGAAACCATATATTGATTAGCTGTCGAGATATTGGAATGTTTTCCATATGGTTCCAACATGATGGAGCGCCGCCTCACAGCAGTCACAACACTCCTGCCGTGCTGTTTGCAATTTCCTGGATGAATGTTTTCCAAAAAAATGGATTCACAACTAAGGAGCTGGCCGGCAAGAAGCCCAGATCTGACAGAATGGTCATCAAATACGTCGATTTCAATTTTTTATAATATATGTCCATTTAAATCCTATATATTCATATTTAAAAGTAACAAGAGGTTGGGAACAAAATGGCGGCGGGACCTCTATTGTCGCCACTGTATGCAAAGGTTTATTTAGCCACTGTACTCTGTGTTATGTACCTAAAAAACGAATAAACTATGTAACTGAAAAGATTTTTATGCATGGAGCAACTTGTTTATTCTTTTCTCGCTAGGTAGGGGCAGCAGCGTCAACGACTAAGTTCGGAATTAAGCATATCTTCTATCTTCTATCTTCTATCTTCTACCTTCTATCTTCTATCTTCTATCTTCTATCTTCTATCTTCTTCTTCTTCTATATATATATAAAAATCAAAGTTCGCGGGGTATCCGGATATGCGCTCCAAAACCACTTATCCGATTACGATGAAACTTTGGTAGGTTGTTATGGCCATCCCAAGGAAGGTTTGTGGATAGGTTACGCATCTCGGAAAAAGAAATTAATTTTGAATTAATTATTAATTTAATTGTAAACAAACTCATTCACATTACATAACAACATAAGCATGAACCATATTTCATTTATTTAGGCTTGCATTCAACCGACGTAACTTTATTATTTTTTGAATTCAAGAACGGCTGGACCGATCTTGAATTAATACCACGTATATCTATATAAGGTGAATTCGATTGACCCAGATTAGATCGATTTGGGTTCAATTTAAGTGAATTTCTTCTGATCTAGATCATTTTTTTGTTGATGAGGGTGCACTGATCCAGCTTGAATCGAACACAGTGTGGTTCACTTAAATTGAACCAGATCGATCTAATCCGGTCAATCGAATCGGCTATAGAGGAGAGTGATATAGGCTATTTTTTATCCCGAAAAAAAAAGTTCGGTTGCGTAAAACTCTGATACATTGGAACGCCTATAAACAGCCCGGGGGCTCTAGAGCAGCTCTGGAGTGCTTAAAATGCGTCACTGAACTCACTGGCAAGCGACTATGATATCGGATTAAAAAAAAAAAAATTAAATAGAAAATCAACAACAAAATTTGAAAAGAAGTGTATTATTTCAAAATGTATTTACATGCTGGCAACGCAGCGGGTCATTAGCTAGTTTATTTATAATTTCGACTAATTTGATCGTTTCACATTTCTGCTCCTTCACACCAGCGTCCATGTTCGGAGCAGTAAACTGGGTTCCAAGTGATCTAAATATTGATATAATATTTCAAGTCAAGACATTTGATATACGTTGTAATTTTATAGTGAGAACTTTTTATTATAGGCCACTTATGCGCAAGGATATTACACACTACTACAAGATTGCTCATCGGCCTCGATTTTTGGAATCAAGGTCATATGGTGTTGCACCATTGTCGACGTCATCAACGGTGTCGTCAGCGGTCGAAATTTAGAATATAATTTATGGAAACAAATATTATCCAATTTTTATTGACTGGGCGGTGTGACCCAAAAATAAAAGTTTTAGAAAAAAAAAATCTTAGAACAAATTTTTATACCGCACTCGGCTACGACGAACCGTTGCGAAGATATCGTGCTGTAAAGTTCCCAATCCCAGCACTGTGACGTCATATGCACAAACTGAGTCCGCCGGCCGGCGCTGGGCGGGCGTTTGCTCATGCTTGCTGCATATACAGGGTGTTACAAATTCGAGTGTATGCATGGGGATCTCGGAAACCATGAGAGATACGAGGTCGATTAAATTGAGGCAAAGTTGCGCAATTTTATGCTTAAGAAAACACCGTTTTGAAAACTTAAAAATTCCGAATAGTTCCGGAAATATTCGGAATAAACCGAAATTTTACAAAAGCGTTTTTATTGTTTTCTGAGCTTATTTGAAGAGATATCCCGATTCCCAAAAGAAATGTCACTTCATCAATGCCACTTTTACAAGATGCTACCATAAAATTTGAAATCTGATGCTTGAATGAAAACGCTTAAGTAGATTTCGTAATTTTTGCGTGTGTCTATGACGTCACGCAATAAATAGACAAAACTTTATTTAGGCGTATCTACTTTATTATTTTGAGCGATGCGAGATTTTTACAAGAGTTCTCAGAATTTTTTTCTTTATTTTCTGAAGACAAGTTGTATTTTAAGGTTACACCCCCTTTAACATAAGCCGTGTTCGTTTTTGTCATCTTTTTCGTCGATTTGATCCGAAATTTTGACAGACACGAGATTTGTAAATTGAAACTGTCTGATCCAGTCACGTGCCGGTCAAAATTTCGGAGCAAATCGACGAAAAAGATGACAAAAACGACCAAGGCTATAATAGGCAAAGGGGAGTATGCAAACGAGATCTAAAAAAGAATTGTTTTAGAATGTTAATTAATGTACTAAAACCAAGTATGCATAAAGCAAAAGCTAGCAGAATTATAGCCTGTGGTGCAAACACCCCTACGTCAATGCGAGAAACGACACACTGCTACGTCATCACTGGTACTTTGGCGTGGTGGGATGCAACCGAGACTGAAAAATATTTTGCAAGATTTTACTCAGATTAATAAATAAATTATTAAATAAAAATAGCAAATTTAAACAACAAATCACGTGACTGAAAACGCCGACGAGTTCAAGGATTATATCTACCTATCCTTTATTTTTTCATAACGTAGTAAAAGACGGAAATAGGTTCTAATTAGAGAGTGTAACGATTTACTGATGAGAAATTCGGCATCCTCGCATTTTCCGAAAAGTGACGTCACTTTCCGAGCCCGCGTTTTCGCAGTTGTTTGAAAATTCGATTTTCAAATTGTTATATTTCCAAAAATAAGCTTTGTTTTTGGTAAAACTTATAGAGATGCTATTAGAATGACTAACACAATAATTCATTTTTTCAGAAGCACACAAAAAAAGAAAATTGACGTGTCCGAGAGGAAAGTCAGGAAAATGTTAATAATTTGAGAATAATAGGGCCAGAAGATTGTTTCCTATTTAGCCCATGGCAACTTTGACAGTGAATATCTTGAGAACTAATCATTCGATTTTCGAAAAAAACACGCATTTGTGACGAGAATACCTTCAAAACAAAGTACCACTCGACCTATCTTCCCTATCTTAAAAAACAGGGGTGAAAGTCACCCCACCCAGGGGGTGCATCCTAGCGAAATACTGATGGGGTCAAAAAGTTTCTCTCTTGAATACAAAAATGACGTGTCCCGAGCGTTTTTTTTTAAATCGACCTTGAAATACCCTAGAACGTCTCTGTGCCGATGTTCGTGAAACACCCTGTATATCCGATATACAGGGTGTCCGATTAGTGTGATATCGGACAATATCTCCTTACAGGGTGATGCAAGAAAAAAAAATTAAATACCAAAGTTGTTTGATACTCTAATATGCATTAGTTAAAAATATCTTCAAATATACAGGGTGCTCCGTTTATGGGGTATGCGACAGAACTTTGTTAATTCAAATAGAACACCCTGTATGTGATTGCATATTTGGATTCTACGTAAAATTCTGAGCAGATTTCATGTGATATACTCTATACCTAAGTTCAACTGTTTTGGAAATATTGACAGTTCAAAATTGACTTTTTGCAACTTTGACAGGCTGTAAAACCTCAACGGTTAATTTTAGACGAAAACCGATTTCACATTCCTATCTTAGATTTTCATAAACTATCATTTGACACTAACTTTGAATTTAACCGGAGAATAAATTCAACTGGAATTTTTAATCATGGATTAAATTCAAATTTGGAGTCAAATGATAGTTTATAAAAATCTAAGATAGGAATGTAAAATCGGTTTTCGTTTAAAATTAACCGTTTAGGTTTTACAGCCTGTCAAAGTTGCAAAAAGTCAATTTTCAACTGTCAATATTTTCAAAACAGTTAAACTTAGGTATAGGGTATATTACATGAAATCTGCTCAGAGTTTTACATAGAATCCAAATATGCAATCACATACAGGGTGTTTTATCTGAATTAACAAAGTTCTGTCGTATACCCCATAAACGCAGCACCCTGTATATTCAAAAATATTTTCAACTAATGCATATTAAAGTATCAAACAACTTTGTAATTTAATTTTTTTTCTTGCATCACCCTGTAAGGACATATCGTCCGATATCGCACTAAGTGGACACCCTGTATAACATAAAATATCGGATACTTGATATTTTTGCACCCTGCTTCTAGATAAAAACTGATTACGATACTGGAATATACGTAGAAAGATCTATGAGAACCCGTTGTCACCTTTTCAAACACTTTTGAGAGAGCCGAGATACAAGGAGTGTCCCAAAATGCGACATTTGCAAATACAAAAAGGGCGATGGCAATTCTGTGGTTGTTTTGTTTGACCAAGAAGTAGCCAACGTTCGCAAAAACCGCATCTTTCCAACTCTAATAGCAATCAAGTTATCCTTTATGTACAAGCAAAATGGGACACCCTGTGAATGGAGAATCCCTTATGTACAACCATTGTATAAAAAGGGTCAATAGTATAATAATACAATGGTACACCCTGTGAATGATGAATCTCCAAAAAAGTCCAACTTGGTCAAAAATATAAGTTAGACATAATACTGAACAATACAAATTTTTGATCAAAATCTGGAGCAATCTATGGTCAGTTTTGGATGATATTCCTGATAAATATGTCAAAAAATCTTGCAAGAAGCCATTATTTTTTAATACCAATTGAAAAATGAAACACCTCATTGAAGAATAGTAAAGTTTTATTCTTGTCTTAAAAAGTTTGTACTATGTACAAAATAAAATATTTTATTATCTACAGATAAAATCAATATTATATGGCATTGTCGTAATGCACTTTTATCTACATTTATTAATTAAAAAGTAATTGATACCCTAATTTTTATTAATAAAAAGTATGGCAATAGCCTATATAATAATTATATTGATATGAGCATAATAATTTGTATTTTAAACTAATTTATCAGTTCATGCTAGACAATTTTTCACAATATTCAATAACATGAAAAAATTAAATAAATATGTACCTATGTACGTACCTATAAGTACAAACAATAAAAATTTAAAAAATATATAAAATACTGATACATACATACATAAAACCAAGTAAGATGGAATGTGTGAACAGATCTTATTCAGCTTGGTCTAAGGAACTCATATAGAGTGGAACAAATGAAAGTAAAATTAAATATGCAAGCCAAATTGGCGATCTTCAATGATCCACTTTATAATAGGTACCTACCATAGTCTTAGGTAGATACATAATTTTGTAGCTGGAAAAGGTAAAAGTTCATATAGGGAAGGATTAAAACATTCTAAAATAATTAAAACAACGATATCAGTTTAAACTTTTTTCTTAAACCAGGATCACAGACACAGCAATATGTACCCCAACTCTACAGAACATCAGCCTTGAATTTTTTTCTGGAAAACAATGGAAGTAATATTATGCAATCAATGCATATAAATAATTAATTTAAAACAAACTAAAATGCCTTTGATGAATAAAATGTTATTTACATGAATTTTATGATTGATACAATTATTAAAACAATACAATAATTAGTAAAATTGTCTAGCATCATAATACATGCATACAGAGTCTGCCAAAAGCTTTTTTCTTTCAATTATACTTTCTGTAATACATTAAAAATAGAATTAAAAGAAGCTAAAAATCACTACCAATTAACTTTAAGTCAGTTCAAAGGTGTTGAGAACTAAAAGTTGTTCTTGGCAGACTCTGTAGGAAAAAATTCCTTACAATAATCTTACAAGTACATAATCTAATATTTCACACTTTTGTCCCATTTTTCTGATGATCGCCTATAGTCACCTGCGTTACAAAGGGGCCCCTATGGGGTTGATTCATTTGCCTTATTATTGGAGCATTATTTCTGGAATTTATTTGTTGTTGTTGTAATCTATTCATTAAATTTGGCCTAGTTTGTAATGGGTTCAAATTATGGTCAGGTTGCTGGGAATAGATGGGTTGGTTTGAAGAGTGATTAGGGCGAATTTGCCGGTTATTCAAAACGGATTGAACGCTTTCATATTCGTAGTAATTCGAAATTGGCCGTAGCTGGTTGTCAGGGCGCGGTTGCCGCTGTGAATGATACTGATGCTGTTTTCGACTGAAATAAGTTAAATAGTATTGAATCAATTAACAAAGAATTGTTTTTATTATACAAAAGTTACTAGAAAGCAACAACTTCTACAATAATATTTTATGTACATTTCAAGACCGGTTTCTTCATCACATTTAGGATATTGTTTGTTTTAGAATTGAACTTTTCAATTTCCTCACTACGTAGATCAAGGCCCAGTTGTACAATCTCGGTTCAAAACAAAGTTCCACTGAACTCGACTGGTACTTGAATTTTCCCATTCAAAATACATTGCTGTCAGCTATTAATCAAATTTTATCAATTTTGATAGCAATGCAATTCCAATGGGGAAGTTCAAGTACCAGTCGACCTCGCTGAACTATGTTTTGAACCAAAATTGTACAACTGGGCCTAACTCAAAGACAAATGTCCGACGATAATCTGTGTTAACTATTAGAGCTTGCTGAGTTTCTCGTTATGATATCAAAAATCAAAAATTATGCTGCAGAAGACGATTTTAACACTCGGGCAAGAATTCAATATAGTAGTGAGAAGTTTGAAAGAAGATGACTTCAATATACCTACTTTAATGCGACATACCAACAGAATCGTTTTGACTTAGTTTGAAGTCATATAAGATAGTTTCCTTGAAACGAATATTGAAACGTCATTTATTCCCTTAGTTTTTGAATAGAAATTGTTTCATAGATGCATGTACATAAGTATGTTTGTGTTGATCTCAAACGCGCTCTAACTGCAACATCGAATGATTAACTAGGAAAAACTAAATCAGGCTTAAAGGACTCACTACTGCAAAATTTTATAGGAGAGGGAGGAATAAAATTAATCTAATAATAACTATTGATGAAGAAACCGGGTTTTTTAATTGAGCATTTAAAAGAGTTCATTCTGGTACCAGTTTGTTCCAACTCACTAGAAAACTAAGACAATAATTCCAATTGTCCAATTAAATATTCAGTTAGGCAATTAATGGCAAATTGAAATATTGGAATTCCATTGTACTTAGGACAGTTTCTTCTAGTGGCAGGTTGGAACAAAGCTATTTTTCAAATGATTGATAAAATAATAACAGTAACTACGAGCCTAAACATATTTGCTATGCAAGAAATATAAAAACCAAACAACAATATTAAATAAGTATTGGCATGCAAAAGGAAAAATAAATGTAAAGATAAGTAATAGATAGAAAAATTTAGAAAAAGTTTGAAAAAAGATTTGACAGAAATGTGAAAAAGCACAAGAAGAAACTCCACACCTCAGGACTATAATCAAACCGAATTGCAATTTGAAAATTCGCACTGGCAGAATATTAAATTTATTGAAATGTGTTAAAATGTTAAAGGTGTTCTACTTTTGCTCTCAATTAGGACTAGTCAAGGTTTATCAAAGAATATGATTGTAATTAAAACATTTATGTGATTTACCTCAATCAGCCTTAATTGAAAGCAAAAAAACCAGCACTGAGATTATTTGAGAATGCAAAATTATTTTAATTCAAAATCCGATTAAGTTATTAATAATTTAAACAAAATGAGTTGATATTTTTCTACAAGGCAAATAACATAAAAATCTACAGGCCAACGTCTCTTCTACGAAACAGAAAAATTAAAATTCAAAAATTATTATGGTGCATACCTTTCTTCCTCCACCTTTAACCTTTGCTGTTGCACCTGCAGACGCATCTGCACTATCTGACTGTCAGACAATGATTCTTTTCGGCTACGAGAACGAGAGACAATAATTGGTAACATTGGGAGAATAACACAAGGACACAAGCTAGTTCATTATATAAGTACTACAATGACTCAAGAAAAATAAAAGTTCAATTTGTATTTAACAGGTTTTCTTGTCAAAGTATACAGCTACTTATTACAATGCCAGTAAACTGTGTTAGAAAAAGATTGATATAAACATCTAGGGTATAATAAGGCCTAGAAATGAAGAAATATTATGCATACATATACATTATACATGCAACATAAAGTCTTTGATGAGGTGGCTTCACACATTGCCAGTAATTTGTTCACGTAACTTGAATCAAGTACTTGCTCTATGTATTGACAGACATGTATCAGAAAGCAGCTTTATTTACTGGTACAACTGGTTATCTCACTTTTCATAATAAGGAAAATCTAGCTAAAACGTATTTTAGAACAAATACTTGAACTTGAAAATAACTAGAACAATGTTAATGTTAACTATCTTTTAAAACCATTGCTTTTAGTACTGGATTTTGGTGACTTAAACAAGTTACTGATACTGACGCTGTGCAGCAATATTTATTCACTTATAGCAATAAAGCTATTTTAATAAATTTTGAAAAATCCAAAACTGATTTTTCAGGATAAAACTGTATTATTTGTGTTACCTGATTGAAATTTACATAGATTTTTGACAATATTGGACTATTTAAATCAAAAGCCAACATTCGGCCTTTTCAAGACAATAACTTAATTTTTTTTCTTGAGCCACTATAATAAAGCCTTAACCATTCACAAATTGTGAATGAATGATGAATAAAAGTAACAAATTTAATTTCCAATGGAGCATGTTTACACCAAAAATGTTTATCCATGTCATGCAACTTGTGTTAGATACAAATGACATGTGTATAACAGATATGGGTTAATAATCCGAAAATATTTGTTAAAAATTAGAACCAGATTACAGATAAAAAATTAATAATTACCTCATATGCGTTTGCAGCTCGCTATAATTTACGTAATGAGTGAATGGCACTGCTGAAGACTCAGTTATTCCTGATCTACTACCGGGACGACCAAATTCGCCGTATTGAGGCTCACGATTTTGGAGGTCTCTGTTCTGATGCTGGAATAATCAAAAACGTGACTCAGTTATTTCCAAATTCTATTGAATGTGATCTATTTACCTGTTGCTGCCTATAATATGGATTTTCCCTCTCGTCAGCTTGATAATAGGTGTGTCTATGAGCCAGTTTTTGCCTTGCAAAGTCTCTATCGTTTGATCTAGGATTTTGTCTGTATTTTATTGGCGGAGCCACAGAATTTTCAGGAATAACCTAAAAAAAGATGAAGTAATAAAGAATTTTGCTTCAGTAATTTTTTTATTTACCTGTACTTGTTCTGCATGCCTATGAATGTATCCGTGCCTCTGATAAATTGGTTCCCTTTGAATTTGTTGCTCTTGTTGTTGTTGATTTGAACTATTGCTATCTTGATGATGCTGAACTGAATGTTGATTTGGATCTTGAAGTCTCTCAACTTGAAAATGATAAGAAAAACTTTGACGAAACATTGCAAAGTGAAGAGAACATCTCTCAGCAAATTTTAGCCAACAAAGTTGCCCGAGGAAAGAAACAAAAACTTCTTTCATAAAGCTCTAATTCTTTGTTATCTGGAGGGCTAAATTTTGTTGTCCAAATCAATGTAAACCCGATAAATAATGTTTGCATAAGTATTGAGACACTTACCGTGTTGAGGCGGTTGTTTATGTAGACTATTATCCGTATTATGTGAACTATGAGAATGGTGGCTTTGATTATCGTCGTTTTGGCCTTGATTTTGTGTCGAGTTCGACTTGTTTTGGGAATTTTGCGAATTTTGCGAATACTGGGAATGTTGCGAAATATTTGCGTTCGTATCGAATTCAGTTTGTTGGTGATATTGCTGCACTGGTTCTATTAATTCTATTTTACGATGCTTGCCGAATCTGGAAAAAATAAATAATGTACATATTGAAATTGGTTGTTGAATTCAAAATAATTCGAATTAGGTATATCCTGGGAGAATGATTGTGCTGCCTTTAAATTTCAATGTAAGTATGTTTTATATCTCCCCTTCTGTGGAAGCTGGTGGTCGACAAGCTGTTATGTCGACTAAAAGACGCGGAAATCTATGCCCACGCCTATGCTGTTGATGTTAGCTTTATGGTTAACGGTAAATTCGGACTCATTGTATCCGAAAAAATGCAACTGGCACTGAACATTACCAAAAATTGGTGTGAAAAAGAGGGATTGTCAACAAATCCAACAAAAACCTCTGTAATAGCGTTTATCCCTCGGTTCATCCTTAGAAGGAACCTTTACTTAAGGGAACTTCGTATGTGGCAACAAACACTAATTTTGAAAAGGGAAGTCAAATATCTGGGGGTCACCCTAGACACCAAACTAAGTGTTCTCTGGGCATGCAGAAGGGCGGTGGGCGATACCAGAGCTGGAACTCTGTAACGGATAGAGATCATTATCCCTATCGCTATGGCACTTGCTGTCTTCTTCTCTCTTATCAAAATCAATAGAGAGGGGACGCCACTAGAGATAGAGATATTGATCGCTATCCGTTACAGAGTTCCAGCCCTGGGGGCTTAAACCTCGCATGATACATTGGCTTTATGCGAAGGTAGTGGCATGGTAAATTATTGCTCTGTTGTGTGGTGGCACAGAGCCAGATGTACAAGTGCATCCAGGCAGCTCGACAAGGTACAAAGAGTAGCCTGCATAGCTGTGACTGGGGCGATGAGAACAACGCTAACGGCAGCTATGGAACTGATGCTCGGGCTGCCTCCGTTGCACCTTGTGGTCGAAAAGGAGGCGCTAGCTGCACACGCAAACCCCATGAATCTGTCTGGTATACAGACGGATCGAAAACGCACAGGCGTGGGAATCTATAACGAAAACACGGGGAAGATGTACAGTCTAAACCTGGGCTCAAGGGATACCCTCATGCAGGCTGAAATACTTGCCATAACAGCATGCGCGGAAATCATCCTGAGAGAGACAGTTCCTAATCGGACGGTCAGGATCAGGAGCAATAGCCAAGTAGTTCTCAAGTCATTAAGGAGCGTAAGCACCACGTTCAAAACAGTGAAACACTGCCAAAAAACTGTGGCTGTACTGGCAAAACACTACAAGGTGATCCTTGAATGGGTGCCAGGACATGCAAGGATTGAAGAGAATGAAAAAGCTGATCTTCTCGCAAGAAAAAGATCAGAGACAACCCTAATTGAACCGCTGCCCACATGTCAACATGTAAGAGGCAAACTAGAGGAACAGTTAAGAAAACAGCATAAAAAGCTCTGGATGGAACTTCCTGGACTCAGGCAGTCCAAATTTTTTATGGAAGGACCATCTTAGAGCAGTGCAGAAGAACTGCTTAGCTTAAGCAGAAGACAATTGAGAGATGTGGTTGGACTGTTGACAGGACACTGCCCTCTCAGAAAACATCTTAACACAATGAAGCTAGCAGAAGACTCGCTGTGCGAAAGGTGTGCAGAGGAAGATGAAACACCTCTACATGACATACTATGCCAATGCCCTAACCTTAGATGGCAAAGACAGCGGCACTTTGGGATACAGTATCCGAGACCAAAGGAAATCGTGGAAGCGAATATCAGGAACATCACTAAGGGAGTGGACCTGATATGAAAACTTCAGGAGGGCACAATGAGCCACGAGCTTCAGTGCAGGTGTCCACGCACCCCTATTTCATTCTAATCGATTTTCAATTTTTACAGCAGCTCATTAACTTACCTAAACATTGAGCCTATTCCTTTAAATATACCAGGTTTTTTCTTGCCAGGTTTATTTTTATTATCCAAAGCCGCATTTAAGGACGACTGCCTGGGAGCTCCCCTTGTATTAGTAAAACCATCAATTTCACGCTCTTCTACTGGACCATCTAGCAGCCAGTGTTTCTTCGCACCTTGAAAAATGCTCGCTCAATGAAATTGCAAGAATTTTTTTTTTATCTGCTTACCCATTTCATTTCGATGGTTAGGATCGACTACAGCTGCTCTAAAGCTTTCCTCACACCCCCTACCGCGGATCACTTTCAAAGCCCCTGATTGCCCTCTATAACTATAGGCGGGATCTCCTTCTTCCTTCATTTGAATCTAATCACGCAAAAATAATTTCGTTTTAATAAATATTTAGAAAAATTAAACGTAGTTTATGTACCTCTTGGACCATTGTTTGTAAAGATTCCAAGCTAGAAGATTTCTTCATTCCAAGTGAAGGACCAAGTTCGGCTAACTTATCAGCATCTAAAATAAATTAAGAAATTGCATTAATATTTCAGAGACAGAACAAATATGAAGTGAAAATGCTTACATTCAGGATGCTCTGACGAACGATTGATGCTTATAACCGACTCCACTGAGCCAACTCGCACTATACTAGCTGTTAAATGAGAATGAGACAAAAATATTAGCAAGACACACACAAATACCATTAGCTTACATAAAATGTTAAACAATATATGATACAACAAACAAATTAAGGACAATAATATTTAGTAAAAAGTAATGATATTAGCAATACATAAAAATTTTAAGCATAATATGTTATTATGTACTCACATTCCTTCTTTATTCTTTCTTCCCTCATTTTTTTTGTTCGTTGATAGGTATCTGTGCTTTTGGCATCCAAAGTGGCATGTCGTTTCTCGGACATACTTTGTCGTCCAAAAGCGTCTCTAAAATGTAACATACAGTTTTGTTTATTTCATCAATTTGTCTATTCAATTGTATACTTGTTGAAGGACTGAACTGAAAGTACATCATATTTTCAGTTATTGTTTATAACACAATTACAAATGGTTAGTAGCTAAAAAATCCTTTCAATTTGGCTACTTTTAAATGAAGATACCAAATACACGTCCATGGATGGATCTGTAGGACTACAGACTATTTAATCAAATTTAAGTTATTTTATTGTTAAACACAAACTTTCAACACATTTGAGACTAATTTCGATAGATTTTGACTGAAAAGAAGTACAAGATCATGGTAAATGTTGCAATTATTTTACACCCAATTAGGACAGTTTCTTTTGATAATTCAATAGAAGAAGGCAACAAAATTATATTTGGAACAAATTTCAGTCTGCTGGTTATGAGAGATATTTCATACTGAATTCCTTGTTCATTGTCAAAGTCTAGCTCCTTTCTGGGTATTTGCCCATATATATTATAGGAGATTTCAACTATCAGCATATAGATTGGAAGAATCTTAATTTGTCCAACCCAGACAAACAATATCAACTTTTTTTTGGACAACTACCTTGGAACTAATGCTTACCAAATGGTTGATTTTCCAACACGTTTCCGAAATGACCAAGTTTCTCTACTTGATCTAGTCTTCACCAATGATAAGAAACTGCTATATAACTTGGAACCCAAGCCCCCCATAGGAAAGAGCGACCACGTCATCATTGGAAAAAGTCAACTAAAATGTAAACTGAGTCCAACGAAAACCATATTAAAACGCAACTTTTTCAGTGCCGACTAAGAAAATATCAATAGTTTTCTGGCTGAGCAAAATTTTGCTGCATCGGGTAATGCGTTCCACAAGTGCATGTCAATTTCAAAAAATGCTATAGAGTATAGATAAGTTCATTCCGTTGAAAACAAACCCACAGAAACCTTGGCTTAACCAGTTTATATTTAAACAAATAGAAAAGAAACGAGGTCTATGGGTCAAATACAAAAAATCACCTACAGACGATAGTTACAAAAAATATTGCGAACAAAACAACTACCTTACAAATATAATTAGAAAGTCAAGAAAAGACTACGAATGCAACATTGCCTCTCAGAGTTCAGATAAAACATTTTTTAAGTATGTGAATAAAACACTATCATCCAAAGTTTCAACAATAACATTAAAGAATGAATCAGATGAACTTTTGACTGACGACTTTGATGTAGTGGAATGCTTTGCAAACCAATTTGAAAAGGTATTCACCAAAGGGAATCAAAACGAAATGCCACTAATTCGGAAATACCTACGTGCAACTTCACAGATGTCAAATATTGACTTATCTCCTGATAAGGTGTTTGAAGCAATACAATCGTTTAAGACAGATTGCAGCCCAAGCCCTGATGGAATTCCAGTAGTGTGCCTGCAAAATTGTGCGGCCATCCTGAGACAACCCTTGTCTGATCTCATGAAAAGTATTTTTGAAGTCTACAACTTTCCTGAGATTTGGTCAACATCGTTTGTGATTCCAATATACAAAAAAGGAGACAAAACCGCTCCATGGAACTAAAGTCCAATAAGTTTGACATGTAATCTATGCAAGTGTATGGAAAAAATTGTAGTGAAACAGTTAACCTCATTTTTACTGGAGCAAAATCCATTACTGAAGCACCAACATGGCTTGCTTCCAGGGCGTTCTACTACAACCAATCTCATACTATGCTTGGACGATTGGACAAGGGACTTTGACAATAACGAGCAAGTGGATGTGATATATCCCGATTTCGAGAATGCGTTCGATAAGGTATACCACAGCTATCTCCTGCATAAATTAAATCACTTTGGCATTGCTGGGAGCTTGCTACAATTTGTATTAAATTTTCTATTGAACCGATACTATCAAGTAAGAATAAATGCAACTTTTTCAGACAGAAGAAAGGGCCAGAGTCGGGTGCCCCAGTACTGGTCCCTCTACTTTTTCTAGTATATGTCAGCGATACGACATCAAATATCCAAACCAAAATCCTACTTTTTGCTGACGACACGAAATTGTATGCAAAGGCCGCAGAACACAAGAAATTGCAAGAAGATCTCAGAGCTGTAGAAGTGTGGTTCAATACCTGGAAAATGAGGCTAAACGAAAAAAAATTTACTACATTGAGCATTGGGACCAAGACCACTGAATATGTCTACAAAATAAACAATGTTGAGTTGAAGCATGTGAGGGAACAAATGGATTTAGGTGTCATAATAACCTATAATCTGAAATGGGAGATGTACGTAACAAAAATAGCCAAAAAATCCAACTCATGCATATACCTTGTGAAAAAGGCATTTGAAGACTAGTCGTGTGACAACATTATGAAACTATAAATCTTTTATATGTCCAAAACTAGAATACGCCCACTCAGTCTGGAATCCGTACCTCATAAAGGATATTTAGATACTAGAGTGTGTGAAGAGACGAAGAACAAAGATTCCACCATCACTGCGTAATGAAGATTACCTTATTCGACTATCCACTTTGAAACTCACTTCTTTGAGGGAAAGGCGTCTGAGATGAGATCTGATCGAGACATACAAGATTATTCGAAATGTCTACTCCTGTAACCTTGACATCTCTACCTTCAATGACAACCCCCATCTACGAGGTCATACTTTGAAGTTGTGCAAATTTAGTTCTACAGTCACCGCGCAGAGTTTTAATTTTTTCAAGAATAAGGTTGACACCGATATGAGTGCATTATTCCAAGTATCAAGTGGATATTTATTATGGACAAGTAATCCAATAGTTTCACTATTGTACCATAATAATATTAATAACAATAATATAGCTACCTTAAAAGTAACACGCTAGAGATATATACAGGGTGTCCCAGGGAAAACAGTCCACCCCGATTTATTGGATTTGGAATGACAATTTGGAAAAACGCTCGGACACGTCGATTTTTGATTTAAAGGGGAACTATTTTTCAGTTTTTGCTTCAACCCCTTAGCTGGGGGGGGGAAATAACCCCCCAAATTTGAATAGGGGATAGGGGTCGTATCATACCTCTTTTTAAAGGTCCCATCGAGTTCTTTATGGCTCTAAAATTTTGTCTTATTATTTTCATCCGTAACGAAATGACAGCTTGTCAAAATCTTGGAAATAGAATATTGTTTTAGGTGGAGTAAAAGCGATACTCAACTGCCTTAAAAATACTTGAAATTGAAGTTTTTTATTATTATTAATAATTAGATGTACACATAAATTGTAAACTGTAAGTATTTTTATGAAGGGAGGTAAGTACCGCTTTTACTCCTACTAAAATAAAAGTCTATTTCCAAGATTTTGACAAGCTCTCATTCCGTTACGGATAAAAATAATGAGAAAATTCTAGGGTCCTGAAGAATTCAATGAGACCTTTAAAAAGGGGTATGACATGATGACACGATCCCTATCCCCTATTCAAATTTTAAAGGTTCTCCCCCCAGCTCGGATGTTGAAGCTACGGGGACGAAAAAAAACTGGAAAACAGTTCCCCCTCAAAAAATCGACGTGTCCGAGCGTTTCTCCAGATTTTCATTTCAAATCAAAAAAATCGGGGTGGACTGTTTTCCCTAGTACACCCTGTATATGGTAAACTCGCATTAATAATTAATCCGTATCCTTCTCAATTCTCTGTTCTTGTTCGTGTAATTAAACATCCACCCTAACTGATCCAAGGAGTAAGTCGGTGTTTGTGTGATGCTTTTAAAAATCTCCATCTTACCTTGAAAATCCTTGAGGATTTTCTAAGCTCAATTGACTGGCATAGGTGGCATCAGTATGTGGAATGGTCGTTTGCCCAGTGGAATCTTTACTTTTATCTCCTGTGCCATTCATAATTAAACTAGCTTTCCCATCTGGCTCGTGGTCTTTTCGATTTTCATGTGCCCCATTTATGTGATTAAACTTATTAGTCATATGAACTTTTATCCTATAAAACAAAATATTGAAAAAATGAAAATAACTAAAGTTGTTACATACTGTGGATGCTGATTCTGCACAGGAATAATCCTTGTACCATATTCGTCCTCAATTAAAACTGGTTCAGCATTGGTTCTAGTAACAGTAGGACTGTAAACGCTACTGTTGAAGGAAGGAATACTAGTATTCCCTAACATACTGCTACTCCAAGTATCGTGAGTAGCTTTATAGTAGCTTTCATTGCGCAGCTGTGGTTTACCTGTCAATCGTTCTAAAACAGGATTCCAGGTATGCATAGGACTCAACTGGTTAGGAACCATCCCGTTTTGATGGGGATTATAGATGACCGTATTAGTGGAACCATTTGAGGCGTTGGAATTTGAAGTTTCGCCTGATGGTTCAGTGGAAGCTTCTTGGGAATTATAAAGGTCCTAAAACAAATAGAATTTAATTTTTGACCATTTTTTTTTTTATGTTTATTACTTGGGAAGTTTGAGAGACATTCAACAAGCTTTCATTGGACCTATTTCTTGAAGATCCAGGTGATGAAGCACGTCTTGCTATCGTCAAAGTTATATTTCCCGGCACTGGACCTTCTGTATGCAACATGGCTTTTCTCAAAGTCTCCATGGCGTCGCTATTTGATTGTTGCAAAAGTGATATTCCGTTGACGTTCAATAATTGATCGTTGGTTCTAAGTCTTTTGTCTCTTGAAGCTGCTCCTCCGTTGATTACACTTTTTATAAAGATCCCCAAGTCTCCTGGAAAATTTTTATTTTTAGTCAAAGTTTACATTATTGTTAAGCTTGACGTATGGATAAAATATTCTTACCTGATTCACTAGTTTTTCCTTTTACGCTAATACCTAGTCCGGCCTTTTCTGAATCGTGTACAGGAATGTTGAAGGTGAGGATTTCTCTGTGTTTCCATGGGAAAACCATGCTGCTGTCGATTTTTTCTGGAGGCTAAAATTATAAGAGTTATGAGAATTTGTCTTGTTTAGAGTGAGAACTATTTTTCTAAATGACTGTATCATGAACTATGTTTGTTAGTAGATAATCAGGAAATGATATTACGTACGAACATAACTACAAACTACACCAAAAAGACATAGATAAAGACTGAGAGTACATACTACAATGTGGACTAAGAACACACAAAAAAAAACAAAAATTACATTGCTTGAGTTGGCAGCTTCTTGGAATTGAGAAATGATTTTAGCCACTGATCCAGTTGATTTTTCGGGAGATCGATTCAGTATCAAGTGGCTCTGCGGTAAGGGGGGAATATTAGGTGGAATGTCTGTGCTGTTTCCGTTGCTACGGAACGGTTCCGAGGTAAGAGGCTCTTCTCGTTCATCCGTTTCCTCGATACCCTATTTGGAGACAGAAATTTGTAAGGATGTTGCAAAAATTTCGAATGCCTAAATACACATATTTTAAGCAACATAAATGGGGAAGAAAAGCTAACAATTATTTCACAAATCAGAACTGTGATTGAATAATATGGTTTTCTAATTTAAAATATGTATGTATTTCAAATCAACTCCAGAAAGCTCATGCTATTGGAAGTTACTGTGCCAGGTGTATGTTTTACAACTACCAAATAACTATGACTAAAATCAACCTAAAACTGGTTTTTGAATCATTATCTTGGGTAAAAAGTTGAATTGAAATATTAAATGAGAAAAATTATTCCTAACTGCAAAATGCAAAACGTGTATAAATACATTAACTATTTCTTAATGCATTCAATTAATATGCATGAATACAATTATTAGTGCTAACAAACAAGAATTCCAATTTTTAAATCTTTGAAATACTAACAGAAAATATTCTTTTATATAACATAAGTAACTAAATAACTTTACAAACATTCACTTACAATAACTCTAGGTAATCCGTTGGTATTAGTTACGTTGACTGGTACATCCTCGTGTCTTGAAACTACAATTTTAACTTTGCTCCCTGGGGGAACCTTCCGTAAAATCGCCACAGCTTCTGTCTGGCTTTTACCAGTCATTTCTTCTTCGTTGACTTGCAGAAGCCTGTCGCCGATTTTAAGTCGCCCATCTTCTACAGCAGCACCCTACAGCAAAATTTATGTTTTCAGTACAGTAATAAAATTAAAATTCAATTAGTTAGTTACCTCAGGGATTATATTTTTAATGTAAATAGGACAATTTCCACCAGCTGGATTATCTCTTGTGGTTATACTAAAACCTAGTCCTCTTGGCCCTTTAATTAGTTCGATTTCGATTTTTCTTCCAATTTTTCTTGTGTTGGCCGTCAAAAGTCCTTTGAGGTTTTTAGATATTGCTGGTACCTTTTTGGTTGGCGATACTGTCGCTACTTTGGTATTTGTACTCTCTGTAACCGTACAGGAATTATATAAGATAAGATTGATTGGAAGATGTGACTTACGTTTTTGTTCACATTCCACCATCCCATTATTCTCCTTATCCTCCCGAAAATGCGGATAGATCGGCGGAGGAGGTTTGCGCAAACTCTCTAATCCGGAGGCCTTAACTACTTTCAGTCTTAATTCTGGGGATATTAGTGACAACTTAAATATTTCTTGTACCCTAAATAAAATTTAATTTTAGTCAAGGAAACTTCATATAAATTGTGTTTCTTACTTTTGGAAAGGAATATTAATTAAATTCTGCCCATTAATTTCTATGATCCTATCATAAATAGCCAGTCTTCCGTCCCTATCTATCCTACCACCGGGTTCGATTCCTTGCACTAGAAGCCCCCTATCTTTCCCCGAACCATCATAATCGGGTACCACATGAATACCTACATAAATAAAATAAATATAATTATATTGATGTTACATAAATAATCTCAAAAATGTGTAATTTGCTCAACAGACTAAGAATATTCTTTGTACTTTCTCATGTACTAATCGACTGAAGTTCAAATAATTTCACAAAAGCATTAGAAATTTCTTCTTGTATCAAGTAAACTTGGATTTCAATTGGGTACTTTAAGGGTCTATAGTACAACTGCTAGATATTATATTACTTTAACCAATAGTGATCACTTCGTTCCAGGGCTAAGATCTTTGTCAAGAACACTGAGTTTATCTTGCAATCGCACTTAAATCTATAGATATAAGTGACTTGCAAAATGAGATTCATTGAGTTTGGTTAGTGTAGATGAGAAAGAGTACTTGAATTAGATTATAGGAAAAAAATCAAAATAGAATAGAAATGTAAAGTAGTGTTTTGGCGTTAATTACGATATGAGGTGATTTACTTCTCTATATCTTTATACAAGTTTTATTTTGAAAAAATACAGCTATAAATGCTTTCCACTATTCTTACCAAGAGGTCCAGGTTGATTTCTTATCACAACAAAGTCAGTTTTCTCAGCGACCCAAGATGTGGGGCTGTTATTGGCTTGTCCCAATGGCTCTTTGCGTCTAGTCTCTCTTGGTAAAGATGTACTAGTGTGAGCCTTGGTGATGGCAGCTTTTTCTGCAGCCTCCGCCCAACGATAACTGAGGAAAACGTAAATATTTAACAGGGAGATAATTATTATGTGAATGTCAATTAGGCTTTTTATCTATTACTTACCCAGCACCATCACCTAGAAACTGCATTGACAATCTGTTGCTTCCATCTCTGGCTATCCTCTTGAATCCCGAACCATCCTCTTCCTTACTGTCGTCCATCCAGTCAGGGCTAACGTACCTTAAAAATAATAATACATTACACTACTGTAATATTTCGATATTGCTTTTCTACTGACCAATTTTTCTTTTTTGTTGGGTTGATTTCTAGACTTTGTTATTGTTATTATTTGAAGGAATGCTTTCATTAGCATTTTTTTATTAGACCTACCCAGGAACTAACTTAGCGAATAAGTACTAGCAAACATAAGCAATAAATTTGACTTTATATACAATAAGTTCATAATTATGAAATAAAAATATTTCGAAATTATATTTTTGATTATAACAGGAAGAAGTCATTGACAAATACAAGAAATTGGAGATCATATTAAAGACATGCTGTTCAATTTTCTCAGCAACCATTTTTAGTTCTGCAAATATTTGCTTTCAAACAAAGTCCTGTCGCTTACCCAGAGCTAGGAGCCTCCAAAATCAATGGAGCAGCGCTCCATCTTTTTGTGGGATCCGAAGGAGCAGGAGGACCGACTGGAAGCTGATTTAAGGTAGGTTCGCTACCTCTCCTCACTTGTAAACTTGGAACTCCTGAGGCAATTTGCTCACCGGTGACTTCAATGTCGGTTCGCGGGTAAGAGGGACCGTATTTGTGTTCACCGTCCTGAAAAAAAGGGACATTAATTGATTGACAAATTTTAAACCTTACCTATGTAGGCTGTAAATTTCATATACAGAAAAGGGATAACTTCAATATATTGAAAAATCTATGGAGGTTTGGTTAATAATTTTAAGTTTTAATTTTAAGTTTGTTTTTAATTTTAATGTTGAGCAGTCTTTCGATCTTGCTTTCTTGCTCTTAATCTTACATTTTATCCAGTTGTTTTTATTCCTGTCTATTCTCTTTATTTTTACGTACCTACTTTATTGATGATTTTAATTTCAATTCTATTGTATTTGGAAGCTTTGTTATCAAGATTTGTATCTTTAAACAATAAAGCATATTTTGATTTGATTTTTGATATACAATCACCTTTTGGAAAATAAAAGCAGCTAAAGATTTTGATGATCTGATCTATACTTAATGCATTTTAAAGATTTCAATTATCATTATTTGGAAGATCAAATTTATTTGTTGCGTGAACTTACATGAAATATATCAGGACTTCCAGTTCCAACTGAGCTTCCGCTAGCTCCATCTCCGCCTCCATGATGTATATGAGATCCATCTCCATCTTCGAAACTGGCTAAGATTTGTTCTCTGTCGTCTGCCACATCATTGAGTTTGTCATCAGGATCAAGGATGCCTCCGCCTTGCGACTGAAGATTGTGGACGGATACCCAAGCATCTGGATTCTGAAATAGAAATATATATTAAATTAGCAATAAAATATGCATGTACTGTCGGCGTTCTCATGTTTGATACGTCTTGCTACGCTTATTCGCTCACGCTAATAATCATACGGCTTGTTAATAATCGTTCAGAAATCAGTGAGATGTTATAAAGTATAATAATGCCAGCAATAAATAACTGTTCATCGCCTGCTAATAACATGCTATGGCTACGTCCAAGCATATTTTCGAATTCCGTGAAAACGGGAAGATGCATCTTATGTGAAATGCATGAAACAAAAGTTTAATTAGAGTCTTGTTGCCTTCTATAACAACAACAATGCCTGGAGCCAGCTTTTTATTTTTTGATTGATATCATGGCACTTTCTCGCGGGTAAATAGACGCGTTTTAATTTCCGACATTATGTAAATTATGTAATAGAGTTATTGCATCATGTAAAAATTATATTCATATTAATTAGGTATCTATTGTTTGAGTCAGAGTGTAGGTATCAAGCAACAAGGACATGGTCATCATTAATAAAGAGGTGCTAAATAGCTTGAATAGGCTTTCACCTAAATATTTTCAATAGGAATTATGCCATTGTTACTTTTTATGAACTGAGTGAACTCAGCAGGCAATAAAGTATCTACTGATATTGATAAATGTGCGTTTGATTAAATGTAATTTTCAATAATCTGACTACTTCAGTTCATTTCAGTTTTATGTGTCCGTACCATTTGAAATGTTTTACTCTGTAGTGGGAGGTTAATTTAATTGAAGTTAAGGGCCCCACACACTACGTTCTTTCTTATCGGTTTTTATCGCCGCGATGAAACACGACGATGTAAAACTGAAGTGTGCGGTAGAAAACCGTCGTGTCTCATCGTTGGTTTAAAATTCAGTTCGAGCTTGATTTTTGGCACGACGGTTTCACATTCCGTTCCAAAACAACTGTATGTAGGTCCAACTGCCAAAAAATCGCGTAGTGTATGGTGAAAACAGATTGACGATGAAACACGACCTTGTTAATCGCGACGATGAAAACGCTGAACTTCAGGTTGCTTCAGGAAACTTTCAGAAAGTAGAGTTTTGCTGGACACAGACACCATTGCAAACTTTATTTCTGAAGCTTGTGTTCAGCGCCTCGGTTTTCAACATGGCTTGCATTGTTCCGTTCCTATCGAGGTTCCTATAGAAAGTTCAACTGGTATATCAACACACAACACAACAGCACAACAAGTCTGATCCAACCTTCCATTACAAAGCGTTCATTCTCTCCGAAGTGCACTAGCCAACCCAAACTACAACTCGACGCCTCAGAATGGGTACGCACATTCAGAATCTGACCCTCGCAGATAGCAAACCTTAAACCCACAGAAAACATTTTGACAAAGTGATCAGCCTGTTTTGAATGGAAACTATATTTGAATGCATTCTCTCCAAGGCAAAGTAGCTTGTCGTTCCTCCTGGCGATCCTCACTGCAAACTTCCACTGCTTTAATTTATATTTCTATGGATGACACAAATCTGGAAGTACCGTAGAATTAGACCTAACTAGCTGATTGGTAAATCAGTGATAATTGTAGAAAACTGTCTATATTTTTAGAATTTATATGTGTTATCTTCGTGACGAGCCCGGCGTCTACAAGCGTCTCCAACCTTATTTATGGAGTGTCTTTTCGCGTTAACCTATAGAAAATTACAGTCCTATACATTATCTAACGTCGCTAAGCGCAACACTCGGGCTTTTGTCAAATAGTTAAGAAGAATTTATTACCACAGTTCCGAGGGCACGATCTCTGTGAATTTTAAAAAAAGTTCCATGTACCCAAAATATAAAATTTGAAAAACAAAACCAAACAGCTTTATGCTACTAGAGAAACTTTTAATTAGTTTTCATAAATTGCATATTTAAAATGAGTTTTTTTCCCAATAATAAAACTAATTTTGAAACTAGCTCTACAGTGTGTATCAGCCAAATGAAATAAATTCGATAATAAATAAATGGGGCACTTTTCGAAAAAACGCTCGAACACGTCAATTTTGTTTTATTGCTTGAGATTTTTTCACATCAATTTTTTTTTACAGGGTGTTCCGAAAACAGCTGTACCGTTATCAACTTTAATTTTTTTAATGGTACCCCCTGTATATTATGACATTTCTGGATTCTGCGAAAAATTCAAGACATATTTCATGTACCTATCTTCAACTGTTTCGGAAATATTGACAGTTGAAAATTGACTTTTTTGCATCTTGGACAGACTGTAAAATCTGAACGGTTAATTTTACAGCAAAACCGATCATACATTCTTATCTTAGTTTTTCATAAACTATCATTTGACACCAACTTTGAATTTAATCCATGATTAGAAATTTCGCTTAAATTATTAATCTCCGGTTAAATTCAAAGTTGCTGTTAAATGATAGCTTATGAAAATCTAGGATAGGAATGTGAAAACGGTTTCGCTGTAAAATCAACCGTTTAGCTTTTACAGTCTGTCAAAGATGCAAAAAAGTCAATTTTCAACTGTCAATATTTCCGAAACAGTTGAAGATATGTATATGACATTGTACATGAAATATGTCTAGAATTTTTCGCAGAATCCAGAAATGTCATAATATACAGGGGTTACCATTAAAAAAATTAAAGTTGGTAACGGTACAGCTGTTTTCGGAACACCCTGTATAAAAAAATTGATGTGAAAAAATCTCGAGTAAAAAAACACAATTGACGTGTTCGAGCGTTTTTTCGAAAAGTGCCCGATTTATTTATTATCGAATTTATTCCATTTGGCTGATACACACTGTTTAACTAACCTACCTATACTCATCATATATATATATATTTTTTAAACCGAACTGCTCTAGTAAAAATCGCCAATAAAACGAAACTCTGTAGATCAGATCAATAAAAATCGCATTCGTGGTGCAATAAACCCGTCATTTTTATCCTATTGCCAATCTATGCAATCTAAAAGCCAACGAACCAGCAATGTTGGGTTTTTATCGAGTGGATGTCCTTCCGCGCGTGAATAGAATCCGCAAAGAGAATGGTCACCACCATGTGCCACAACCAGTGAAAGTGAAATGGACCATTTATTTTTCCCATCGGCGGACCAAAGCAAACGAGATGGGCGAAATTGGACTTTGAAATGCCTCCCAACAAGTTTTGATCATTAACTACTTTCTTTTCAAGGACTTTGGCTAATTTGCAGTCTGATCAGCTGGCCGTTATATAAGACCGAATGTAACGGTGCTAAATTATATGCTTGCTTGTAACGTAACCCCGGGTACGTAAAATTACTCAAATTTGATTCGAGATTTGATTTTCAGAAATCAGCATTATTATGCCTGACGGTCAAGGAAGGCCCCCAGAGTGCCGCTTTTGTATTTGACGCTTGAAAACTAACTAGCAAATATTATGTAGGTATCTTTTTCTCAGTTAGCAACCATTATAGCTGAATATTTTAAACTAAAAAATTTCATCTCGGGGGGTGTTTTTTCTGAAGTTTTCTTACAAGCAAGTTTTCAGACTTTCTATAAAACAAAGTTCCTCAACCGCATCCATAAATTACTCCCCTCAATGCAAATTTTCCATAAGGATTTCTTTTATTTATACATCAGTGATTACCTATTTGAGAACTGGCTTATTATTTGTAAACAATTTCACACTTTCACAGAAATGTTAACCCTCAATCTGTATACATGATTACAACATAATTAGACATAATAAAGACGACATTGGCTTAAAGTAAATATTATTGAGCCTTGTAAGGTAAATGAATAGTTAAATTTAAAAATTAAGAAGGAACCAGTAGATAAACATGATTACTTAAGTTTGAAACAATAGATATTGTACTATAATTCACACTTTATAAAAATTATGTAAATTTTAAAATAAATTCAAATATGCTAAATCACTCTCTTGGTGTACTATTTAAATTGAATTATATCAGTCAGCAAATGACAAGATCTCATAAATAATTCGCCAGAGCTTAAGAATAAATAGGCATTAAGCTGGGAGTGGTACCACAATCCGTACCTAAGTCTATGGTGGCGCACCCAGAAAGGTATATGAGATTCTTTGCTAATAATCCTTTGATACTATGTACTTTCTCATAAATTGATACTTATTGTTTCTCTGCTGGGAGGAATTTGATTTATCTTGATTCCAGTTGATACAGAACGGTAGAAAGTGTCTGTATTCATTATTTTTTGCGATTGATTGTTGATGTAGATAACGCAAAAGGAGCTTTTCTATATATTCTGCATCAATAAGAACTAAACAATCAGACCATTTCTGTTTGAGAACAAATAAATTATTCTAGATACCAGCCCGTGCATTCCAAATATGGATTATGGCAACCTGTTGCCACAAATGGGCAGGCGTTTGGCGTCGTTATGCATACATAATTGTTTCACCTGAGTACCGGATATCCGTTCAGTGCCTCCTTAAATTAATCTAACAAAACAAACCGCAATTAGTACATTCAAACAAAGAGTTCAGATAATTGGCAGTAAGTACTTAAGGTGGGTTTTATGTTGGTCCATAAAAATTGAGGTTATCACATCACACCTAGGTTCAGGTAAATATTTAAAAAAAATTGTTCTGATATGTAAGAATAATAGAAAATTACAAACATTTCTTTACATTATATCGATAAAAATTGTGCCAGGAACACTTAACTGAAGCAAGGAAACACATCTTGGCCTTTTCGGTTTCTTTTTTCATGTTATGCTCTCTAGTTGATGATTTTTGCGTTCCATCTTTCAACCTTGCCACATGTCCTGCAAAATCTCAATTCAGCAGGGTAGCTCTGTAGATTGGGTCAATTATTTCAATTCGCTATCTGAACTGTTCGTTTTCTTTTCTGTGATATTGAAAGACATGTCGTTATCCATTACTCTTTCTGTAGTCTTAGTGACTTGTGTATCATCATGTTTGAGCAACAAAGGTTAACATTGAAAGTATGTATACATTCGTCAAACATATTGGATTTAATATATTGTGGAATCTTAT